AAAGTCCTTCATTATTATTAAAGACAGAAAAATAATTAAGTGACAAGGTGTGCCTTATAGTGAGATTATATATTCGGCAAGTCACGAGGACCAAAGAGCTTCTGGTATATATAAATTTCGCTGAATATATGAAACATGTTCAAAAAAAATTAAATCCGTTGCATGTCATGAATGGCTTCGGGTGCGTTTAAACGTAATTTTCTTGTAGAAGCATCGTCACTTGCAAGGGGCTCACTTTTTGATGATCTGCATATTTTTTAAAAAGATGTAAACTTTTGCTTCATGAAAAAACTACATAACAGTAATAATTATTACTGCACTGAAGTACACTGAATGTGTTGTAGCCAAAAAGTAACAAATCTTTTATAACATATGGTATTGTTTAGGATATATTTAATTTTTCATAACTAAAAAGAACTTACTTATATTAAATAGCAGCCGCTAGTAAGCTAAATAAAAAGTTTGGGTATCTTCAAAATACTTTTTTTTTAAAGAGGCATAAACTTCTATAAATTGATGTCAAGATAAAAATTTTATAAAGACATTTTACAAATTTTAGAAGCTTAATTCAAACTTCCTTTTAAATAATGCGGTCAAAAATATTGATATTCATTTGATTGCGTCAACGTAAACAAAACGCAAACAAACATTTCAAACTGAAATTGTTTTTATATATATTTTTGCCTCTTATAATTAATTCGTAGGCTAAGGGGTATTTGCTGTTTAAGAAATTTTAAAGGCCTAACAATCCAGACACATTTTTAAAAAATTATTTTATAATAGTTCCAACCCTAAAAAATTCATTTGAACCCTCTGTATATTATTAAATACCTTACAAAAATTACGAGAACTAGAAAAACTTCATTAAAATGGCTAGATTACATTTGTGTTTTTGATGTAACTTTAATCAAAAACTCTGGGGTTCTACAGGCTGGTCTGAGTGATTATTTTCCTATTTTAAAAACATAAATGTGTAGCAATTTTAGTGTCCCTAAGAATACAAAACCAACTGGTCGTACAAAAATTGTATGATGCAGGGGCTGGTGGGAGTGAATTTTATAATAAAAATGACAAAAAAATATTATTATGTTGTTGTTATCTACAACATACAGCCATTAAACTGACAAAACCGCTTTTCAATATTTTTATTATAAATCTTTTTTTTTTTCATTTTAAAAACACACCGCATAATGCTTTTATATCTTTAACGAATACACGCTTGCCCTGAAAACTCATTTTTATGTTATAGTTTACCTCGCTGTAACTTGAAAACTATTTGGTTTATCAAAAAAATGCTTTTTATAAATCATATGCATTCAAGATCAACGAATCAGCTACTTTTTCAAAAACTATAATCGGATGGATTTTTAATTAGCAAAATATGAAGCCCTGTCGTGAACATTACGGCCGCCAGCGAAGCAGGGAGAAAGGGTCAAATTTGCAAAGACGGTTAGTTAATAACAGACTTGCGGTTGCGGCGGCCGCTTAAGATCGTTTTTATTTGTATACCCTCTTTCGTAGCGAATGTGATACGTATTTGCCCTCATAGTCGAATTTTTTGATAGGGATGATACTCTTTTGTTATTTTTGACAGTGCAACATTGTATATTAAACCAATAGTACATAAGTGTACATAGAAGCTAGAATAAAAATTAAAATTATATCCATAATAACAACTAAAATTAAGTAGCAGTAAAAAGCTAATCTAAAAAAAAACCCTTCGTGTTGGTCAAGGATCATTTTTGTCTCGCTTATCTAAATGTCTAAATTAAAAAATCTTATTTCACAGAAAATTGAATGTCTCTATACCTTTTTTTATATTGACAGGTGTTTAGAACTGATGTATACTCTTGTAATATTGCTTCGGTTATAAGTACATGTGAAATTTTTCATTGAATTTTACATTATGTGGCAAAAGTTTAAAGTTTCCAGGTATAGTTTCATTTATTGAAATTTGTGTGTAAGGTACTGTGTGACAAGCGTGGCTGGTTTCAACCAGTTTTTTTCACTTGGTCTCCTAATAATTTAAGAGTCCCAAACCAATAAGTTTAGGGGTATATTCTTTTTTCATTTAAACTCATCATCTTGACAAATATTAAGTATTTCCGTTTCTTTCCTGGCATTACATGTTTCGCTGGAGCCAAGAAGACTTGTTAAAAAATATAAATTATTTGGAATATGCGTTTTGTAATCCTTAATTTTCAAATTTTTAAATTTAAATTATGCCATTTATTTCCGTTTTAATATTTTGGCAAATCTTCGTCATTGCTGACGAAGCAAAGGATTAATAGTTGGACGTTTCCGTCTTAGTGTGATGCACTACAGCTTCAATGACTTGCTTCTTAGAAAACCGTTTCACAAAATTTCTAGGTTCTTCTAGGTATAGATTTCTTCTTGGAGAATTCACTATTTCGATCCACAAAGATGCCTTTAACTTTTTTAACCAAAAATCCCAATGTGCGAGCTTATTTATTGTTTTACGTGATTCTGATAGCATGAAGCATTTAATTTCGTATTTCTTCGAGTTTTAATTTTGTTTTTCCATATTAGTCATAACTTGTCAGAGCTTTTGATTTTTTAAACGTTTCTGGCAAAATACGCAATTTAAAACTCGTATAGGTTTTGTAACAGTTTTTATGTCATTGTAAACTTGTTCCCTTATGTCATTAAAATTCAAAAAAATATGTAAAGCATCAGGATCGTTGTCTTAACAGATGTTCATGCGGATTTTTGCACATTCAATTAATTTTTGTGTGGATATTTGTTTTGACGTTATGAGCTTTCCGCCTTATAGACTAGGTACACATAATTGGAAGTTAAAAACTTTTGCTTTAGTGTTAGCAGCTTTTTTCGTTAAATGCTTTAATTTGATTATTGATTCAAGTTCGCAATTAGAACATGTACTGATTTTAATATCCATTTGGATGAAAATTATAACTAATGGGTTATTATTTATCATTCCCACACAAAAATAAATATATTTTAGTCACATTAAAAACTACTTCACTCCCTCAAAGAAAACTATTTTGACACTTAAAACGTAGACATAAAAAATAAATAAAATCATCCTCGCTGCGAAAGTGGTTGTACAAGCGCACGTCGGAACCGCAAAGTCTATTGCCTGACCGTCCTCGCAAATCTGACCCTTCCTCGCTGCTTCGCTGGCTTCCGCGATATTCGCAACATGGTTTCACATTTTGCTAATTAAAAACAAAAACTATCCATCAGATTGGGGTTTTTAAAAAAATAACGGATTCGTGAACCTTCAATGCATATCGTTTATAGGAAACACTTTTTTGATAAACCAAATAGTTTTCAAGTTACAGCGAGGTAGACGATAACATAAAAATGAGATTTCAGAGCAAGCTTTTATTCATAAGATACTCCCATATAAAAACATTATGTGGTGTTTTTAAAATGAAAAAATAAATTATTTCTAATAAAAATATTGAAAAGCGGTTTTGTCAATTTAAGAGCAGTATGGTGTAGATAACAAAAAAATAATAATTTCTTGACAATTTTTAGAAAATTCACCCCCACCACCCCCTGCACCGCACGATTTTTATACGACCAATCTACGATATTTCAGGCTTCTTACATTTTATTTTATGTTTTCCTTTTTATTCATTTATTTTATTAAAGTTAATGTGCCTAAGCAGCTTTTGTGTATAAATAAACTTATCAAGGCGAACAAGCGGAAGAAAATTTTTCAAAATTATATTTGTTTATTTTGTATAATAAAAGTCCTTTATTATTATTAAAGACAGAAAAATAATTAAACTGCCAATATTCAAATTGTGTTTATCATATCTTCATCATATCTTTTTGAACATTTTCTTGTTCTTATCCAAAACCAGAGAAGGCATTAATTTAGTACTCCATTCATTTTTAAGGGAAGTCACAAAATTTCGTTCGTTACCCGCAAATACGCCGCAAATACGGTCGAAATGAATCCTTTTCAGTATATTGTGCGCCTAAAACAACGGCCTTGAAATACGCAAAAAATGCTACGTTGCCATTTTACTACCTCGTAGGAAGCCATAAAGTAATGCAACTAAACATACTGTGAAGTCCTAACGTATGGTTTACCGCGGAGAGTCAAAGGGAAGTCAATACATGCGACAGACATACCAAGATTACATTGCGAATTGCGATGCGAGCGCCAACGATCTACGCCTGAACTAAAATTGATAATGTACGGATAAATGGTCGACCTTGGGACTTCATTAGAAAATTTTGCAGGAACGTTGCTAAGGCCCTCAAGGTCATACTGGCAAAGTTTTACATAGGAAACGTTGTGACTTCCGAAATCGGAAGTCTCCACGTTGTAGATGAAGTCACATCGTTAATTGAGTATGTATTTTGGAAGTTGTAGAGTACGTTTATCAATATATATATATATATATATATATATATATATATATATATATATATATATATATATATATATATATATATATATATATATATATATATATATATATATATATATATATATATATATTTGTGTGTGTGTGTGTGTGTTTAAGGGATTATTTTCATTTTTTTATTTTGTGTACAAAATGTGATGTATTATTTCTAATTAAATTTTGCATTGTCAATCGAATAAGCATGTTGTTATTATCATTAGTATTATTATAATCAACATTTTCTAATGGGTTCATCTTTAATGGTCCTTGATGTGTCAGTTGTTTAACACGTGACAATGTGACATCGTTGCCATGAAAAAATTAGACCATCGCGGGCTGTCCATCGACTGATGAAGAGGTAGAGAGGTAAAAAGAGAAGGGAACAGTAATTTGGAAATGCAGTATTACAGTATTATTGAAGTTTCTTTGCAAAATAGTTTTGGTTTGGTTTTGGAGCATTCTTTTCCCTCCAGAAACGATATTTCATTATCTACACAAGTGTTTCTCAATATAATCAAAATATTTTCCGCCTTTATCAACCTGTTAATGTATTTTTTCTAATAGTTCAAGTGTTATTGAGTTCCTATATAAAATTGCATTGCAAGCCAGTATGAGTTAAAATGTTCTGCGTATATTTCGGTGCGTTTTTAATTAACTCTGCAGTAAGTGAAATTTTATTTATTTACTCTGATAAATCTTCAAAATTTTTTGTTTGCACTGATTTGTCATCAGCGTCATCATCGGCCATCATAGGCCACTAAGGGGGAAACAATTCTAATAATTTTCTTTAATATAATTGCAAAATTTATTTAACAAAAATATAATCTTTATGGAAGAAGTACCGACTTTACAACTAATAGAGAGTGAATTAGAGCAACCAACTCAAGTCATTTTCATCGCTAGTAAATAAATTTTAGAACTGTTGCTGATTTCTCTCTCTCTCTCTCTCTCTCTCTCTCTCTCTCTCTCTCTGTCTCTCTCTCTCTCTCTCTCGATATCTCGCAAGATCAATCCAATTTCCTAGAGTTGAGAGTCCTGAGGTCCTTTCTTGTAGTATTTCAACCCGGCCCGCCCATAGAAGTCTTTTAGGCTTTATTTATTAAGAGAAAATTTTTAATTATCAACTTCAAAAGAATCCTGGAAAATTCTGCTTGTTGAGAAATGAAAAGAAAATGTACCAGATTCAAAATAAACAATAACTCAATAAAATCACTTCTATACAAAACTACTTTTTGATAATAAATGCTATTAAATATCAGTATAGTTTTGTGCAAGTAATATCAGATAACATCTACAAATAAAGGCAAGTGCTGTGTGTATTGTTTGCGGAACATGATCGAAATCCTATTCAGCGTTGCCAACTGGGATCGAAAGTGAGATATGCAATATTTACAACAAAAATTCTGGATAATCAAGATATTTAGAAGCATAGACAATGTGTAGAAATGCCACAAAAGACTTACCACAGGAATAGTAAATCTAGACAAACTCGGATTAAGTCAAGATTGTGTAAATAACGCCTTAGATGATATTATGGCGACGAAGTGGAACAAATATACAACTCATTGGTTACAACTTCAATAAGCGACTATGATAATTGAAAAACTTCAGTCATAACTGCAAAAGATACAAAAGCAACTAAAGAAAAAGGAACCAAATGACATAAAGTTGGAAAATTCTGTTGGAATTCTTATGGAACTGGTAAAGACAGAATGAAAAATTGTCACAATAGGGTTGTTTTTGAAAAAAAGCAGATCAAGATAAAATGCACGTTAACCACGATTTAACAATACTGCTGCATGCTGCTGAAGAGTTTTTGAAAAAATAAAAGGGATATAAATATTTGTGGTATAAAAGTAAAAATAGGTTTCTTGGAAAAAAAGAAAGCACTAAAACCAACATTTAATCAAATAATAATTATGATATTTTTATCCTAATTGAAAAATGGTTAGTGCGAGAAGGTATATATAGGTATATACAGGTATACACTTTAAAAAACTTATTAAATCAAAATCTGAGACTACAATAAGCTGGATATGTGCCGAAAATATGAGTACCGAGTTTCCAAAAATCCACCTTATTAGATAGTCAAAGTTATGTGATACGAAGCTTAAAAAATACATTGATGCTAAGTAATTATTTAACTAAAAATAATATTGACTCTGATAATGCTACTCGAGTACCCCCCAAATCCAGAACTGTTATAGACAATGTAATAGTCGACCAAGCAAGCTTCAAATGTTGTTTCCAGATGGTGGTTGAAGACAATATTTTGTCTGATCCTAACAAACTAGTAGTTAACATCACAGAAAAGATAAAGTCATATTAACCAAAAACAGTATGAAGTTCAAAGTGTAGACCACAATAAATTTAAAGCATTATTCCGTCAGAAAGGAGAAAACAAGTAAAAAAAAAAGTTAAGGCGGAGTATGTAAAAGTTAAATGCAGGAGCTATTGGAAAAATTTAAAAAAAAGTTGCGTACTTGATGAGGAACACAAGACTCTAAAAAACAAAGTAACAAATTACGTTAAAACTTTAAGAAATCCATACTTTAGAAAACATTGCGTGACTTTGGTAATGAATTAATTAATAGCTTAATGAAAAAAAATCTAAATATCATAGTCCCTATAATTGTGAACAATAGGAAAAGTGATGATTCTATTAATATAGCTAATAAATTTAAAGTCAACTTCTCTAACGTAGGTAAAAACATAGTACGAGAAATATACAATCAAATAAATAATCTAATACAAGCTGGCCGTAATGACCTTTAATCTAATGAAATTTATTATTATCCAATTCATTAATATATTATTAGAATTTATAAAAACGTTGGCCCCCGATCATGGCCAGGTAACAATTTATTAGATAGTCAACGACGTGTTGGTCAGTAATGTTTTTCCATGTGAATTATAAATTAATAGAATAAGTATTATATTTAAGCTTGGTTGTGGAAAATGTATAGATATTTGTCGCCGCATTGGAATTATTAGTGTACAAAAATTGTTGCGACTGTGATTAAGTAGAATATAACGTCTTTCATTAGTTAGCACATAGATGATCAATTTCAGTATGGCTTTAATAAAGATATTCAAAGCGCCCTGCTTGATGGTTTAAATAATGTTTCGATTGATAAAGCTTTTAATGTGGTTTATTGTTCATCTTTTAGTGAAAAGGACACAGTTTTTTGAAAGTTGATTCGGTCTTGCCGTTGAGTCTGCATAATTTAACCCTCCTAAATTTAAATCTGATAAGCATTTTCTTCTATCACGTATACGTTTTTATCAACATTGAAAGAATTATTTTTATTTGTACAAGAACAAAAATATAATTCAAAAAAATCTAAATTAAATAACAAAGTCTCAAAGTCTCAAAAATTTCGTCTACTGGATTTCTTGTACATTACATGTCCCGATGGTCCCTTTTTAGTGACCAGCATTAATCTGCCGTTATTATCGACCTTGAGATCTGCTTTCCATTTTTTTTATATCTTGCTGGAATCTTTTCTCTTGCTCCTCACTCACGGCACCATGATTTTAGTTAAAGTACTCCAAATGAAAGTGTAAAAAGTGTAGTTTCATACTCATAGTCATGTGCATACTAACATATTTTCTACAATGTCTTTGTAATTTGGATAAGTGTTATTTCCAAGAAAACATTTTTAACATCAGCAAATGTAACCCATGCAACTTTTTCAAAATCGCACTTAGTATACAAGTAGAGAAGCAGACAGATTTCCGTTCTATAAAAGGTTGCTCTCGGTTGCCCTTTCAAAAACTATACTGTATATGGCCAATTACATACATACCTCTTTTTTAGGACACATGGTATACGAAGTTCGCGTTAGACATCCTGACAAATAAAACATTGCGTTGCATTAATTTATTGCATAAATTTCTAAAAATCTCACCTCCAAGCAAACACTCATAGATAGTCCATCATCGTATATATATTTATCGTATTTTTGATCAATTTTGAACAGAATTCGATCAACAACAAAAGATCAGACGATAATGCACAAAAACACATGTCTACATGGAAAAACTAAACTCCTTTGACCGATCAATATGTCCTTAAATTTTTTGTATTGAAAGTTGAAACACCCTGTATTTAGTTCGCAGATACAATCGTAGACCTTCCAGATGGAAAGGTCAGAGGCTACGAAATAACAACGAACGAAAACAACAGGTTAGTCGCCTTCCTTGGGATACCATACGCATCTCCGCCACTGGGAAACCTAAGATTTCAGGTAAGTAACACTCAATTGCTATTTTGGTATTGAAAAGTGATGAGGAAACTACGGCCCGCGGAAAGGTTTAAGAGTGCCGTCGTGAGAATGTGTAATGTGACAACCCGCATAAAAACTACCTGCGGCGATATTTAAAACACAATAGCATTCTGGACAAATCCATCAGACCCAAACAGCTGACTCTTCTTCGCTGGAAACTTCCAGACACTCTCGCATTTTCGATTCATTGTTCTGTTTTTCCGAAAGAACCGGAAAAATCCAATTCCCGAACAATCCTTGCAGATAAGTATAAATACAAGCCAGGCCGCCCGAAGGTCAGCTACTTACTCAGTCATCTGCAACGCTGTGACTCGAGTAATTGTTTGTGTAATCAACGAAACTCCCACTGCTTCAACAAACACCCGCCCAAGAGCATTAGTTAGTAGTAAGCTTTCGTCAATTTAGTTTCTGTGTGTTATTCTCCGATAAACTTAGTTTACCAATGGATAAGTTATGTAATAAAATTACAGATGGTGCTCCTAATATTGTTGGAATCAATCAAGGATTTGTTGGGAAATTTAATTCTAAGTATCCGGAAAATGATGTTGTTTTTTTCCATTGCCTTATACATCAGGATGATCTCTGTAAATCGGCTTTAGACATTGATCACATAATTAATATTGTTCCAGAGGTTTATTACATTTCACCAGTTTTTGGAGTCCGTACATGCTGAGCATTCCGATATCCCGTATTATTCAAAAGTTCATTGGTTTAGTGCTGGAAAAGTATTTGAAACAATTTGGGATTTAAAAGGCGATATTGGGAATTTTCTTCTTGATAAAGACATTTATAATCAATTTATAATCAATCAAAACGTGGCTTTCTGATTTCGCTTTTTTCACAGACCTCCTCGTACACATGAATAAACTTAATCTCAAATAGCAACGGAAAAATCAGTTTCTTCACGATATTTGGCAATACCTGAAGAGTTTCAAATCGCAGTTATTATTATTTGCTAATCAGATCTCTAAATCTGATTTTTCTCATTTTCCAAGAATACAATCTTTAAAATTCCCTATATCAAACAATAAGATTAAAAAATACGAAATTAATTTGAGAAAACTATATTCAGAATTTGAAAGGAGATTTCAGGACTTTAGAAAAATGGAAGCAGAGTTTAGTATTTTTGCGACCTCATTCAATGTGTATTACGAAGAAGTTGATGCAAAGTTTAATACTGTAATGTAATACTTTCCTGAAACAAACTTTTCATTGAGTACCATTACTAGAATTTTATAAAAATTTAAGCCCAGATAATTTCCCAAATCTAATTACCCATGCAATGAAGATAATGGCAATGTTCAGCTCGTCTTATATATGCGAACAAATCTTTTCAACAATGAAGCTTAGGAAAACTTCTTTAAGAAGCAGAATTACAGATGCGCACCTTTCATCAGTTTTAAAAATTTCTGCTTCGCAAATGGAACCGGACAATGATGAAATTTTGATAAAACAGTCTCGATTTCATTTTTCTCATGCCGTTTGTTTATTTGTTATGGCTAATCGATGTTCCTTGAGCCATTCTTGCATGTGAGTTTTCAGTGATGCATATTTGCTGCATATTTCGAAAATTTTGAATTTTTTCTAAAATATGATTGTATAAAGTTACTCTCAATTGCTCGTCAGATCATTTTCATGCAAAACTTTCTAAACAACAAGTAATTCTTTTCTGAGCAGCAACTTTTCTCGTATTCGTTGACGAGTCAGCCCCCATATTTTGAAGTATTCTTTTTTCTCTTGAGTTAAGGTGTGGAACAGAAGTGCAGTATAATTCTGTAAGCAATTTAGCGTTTTTGTTCTTCAAGCTCTGTCGATACGATGCAATTTCTACATTTATTTTTTCACGTACGCAATTTTGCTTGTAAATCGGCGTTAGTTTCCATAAAGGTTATAGGTGGCTCTTAAATATCTAAATATTACTTTGAGATGCTAGATATCGGACAAGAAACATATAAGTTGAAAAAATGTTCAAAAAGCACTTCCGCTCATTCCTCCACCGCACGTCGAGTATTTACAGATGAAAATTTGGCCTCCCAAATATATCATTTTGAAAAGTGCCAATGGACAATTTGTTTAAAAAATTATTGGTATTGGAAAACATAACAAGTCACACAAACAATTTGTTTAAAATTTAACCTAAATAAAAGTAAGAGAATTGCCCATAAATACTTTTAGAGAATTAATAAATTAATATAATTGGTATATTTTATTCAGCATCTTAAAGAAACAACATTTCTCTCGTTTTGAGTATTGGGACTTTTCCTATGCACCCACAAAACATAAGCGTGCAGAAAGTTTAGTCATTTAAAAATACTTCTAAAAAGTATTGGTTTGTAACAAAATTTAAAATACCACATTCAAAAATAAAATTACATCAAAATAAGCAAGCGCATTTTGTTCACAAAGTGCATCCTGTCTGCTTTAAAAAAAAATCCAGTTAAAAATACATGCATATTTACCGGAATTTAGATGCTAGAATCAATTCACAGAATAATTTAATCGTACTTTATTGTAATCTCCATTCAAATGTAGATGACAGGAATAACTAATCTTTGCACATGGAATATTATAAAAGGATCCTATTACTGTTTTCTTCAAGATACACAAATACGACTTAATTAATTATAATATTATTTTATTTATTATAGAACTGTAATTCCAGTTTGATGATATTATTTTTTTGAACAAATGTCGGGAACAGCTATGGGTTCTCCATTATCACCAGTCATCGCGGATATACTTATGGAAGCCTTTGAGAAGAAAGCTCTATACACCTTTCATCTAAACCCAAAATTATGGAAACGCTACGTCGATGATACTTTTGTTATTTGGCCTCATGATCAAGAAACCCTAGTAGATTTTCTTAGACATTTAAAATCTATACACCCTAACATACTTTTTACCATTGAGTTGGAAGCTAATAATAACCTTCCATTCTTAGATACTCTTATCAATAGAAAATCAGACCTGACATTGGGTCATTGTGTTTACAGAAAACGTACGCACACAGACCGATACCTTAATGCATGGTCACATCACCATCCGGCCCAAAAATCATCGGTTATGAACTCTCTTGTTTACAGAGCCGTAAAACTATCTCAGCCCGAGTCACTAAAAACAAAATTAAAATACCTTACCTCTGCTCTTCTCTCTAATAATTTCCACATTAAAGATATTACGCGTTCCATCAAAAAATACACTTCACCACAACCTTCCAATAGCAATGAGACCGAAAGCAATCCTACACTTGCCACTGTGGTCTTTCCTTACATTCAAAACATCACTGACCACATATCAAAAGTTCCAAAGAAGTATAACGTCAAAACCAGATTTACCACTTGTCCAAAAATGTCTCAATATCTTCGGTACGTCAAAGACAAAATTCCATTTGCGATGCCAGGATTATTATTATTATCGTATGGCAATAACACAGTCTAGTTTTAAATGTTAATGTTTACAAAGGTTAAATCTTAATATCTAGGTTTTCAATCCAACAGCCGATGGAGTGGCCCTCAAGAAGTCTGTTGTCGTACACTGGCTCTGTCTTTTTTCGCACTCGTATGCTAGGTGGCGGATGGTTTGTCGCCTTCCACAGTCGCAGCAGTTGGTTTCTGATTTGCCCCATTTGTGCAGAGAGTCCGCACAAACACCGCATTCTGTACGGATCCGATTTAGGGAGCACCAGGTTCCTCTCGGTAGTGTAGAACCTGGAACAGTTTGGTTAACGTGGAAAACGCTGCAAATATCTGGAGGAACGCTATTTTGCCACATCTGAGCCAATTCGTCTTGTAGGTGGAAGTTATTGGATATAAGCGCTGCCGCTGTTTGAATTGGAATTTTTCTGGAGCGGAGCCTGTGCCCTAGTTGAGCGATATCTTCATGGATTTGGAGTTAGGGATTGTTTTGTATTTTTCTAAATTCTCTGCAGAGAGCTTCCGATCGCCGGAGATGGGCTGGTGGAATGTTGCAGAGCGCGGGGAGCCAATACGTGGGTGTGGATTTGATGGTTCCACTGATAATTCTAAGTGAGTTGTGGATTTGGACATCCACTAGTTTTGAGTGGGGGCTATTCGTCCAGACAGGAGCGCAGTATTCGGCCGAGGAGTAAACAAGGCCAAGAACGGAACATCGGAGCGTTTCGGCTGAGGCACCCCAGCTGGTGCCACACAGTTTGGATATTATGTTGTTTCTTGTCTTAAGTTTGGCGGCTACGTTGCTTAAATGTTTTTTAAAGGAGAGTGTACGGTCTAAGGTGACGCCCAGGTATTTCGGGTGCTTGTTATGTTTTAGTCGGGTTCAGTTAAATTCGACGTTCAGTTCTGTGTTCGCCAACTTGTTGTTAAGGTGGAAGCAAGAAGTCTCAGTTTTGGTCACACTCGGTTTCAATCTCCATTTCGCAAAGAAATCATTCATGGCCATCAGATCTTCGCACAATACATCTTCTGCAACGTGGAGGTTTTTATGTCTGAAGCCAAGAGCCATGTCGTCGGCATAGTTAAATTTTTTAGAGCGAGTTTCAGGTAGGTCTGACACATAAAGGTTAAATAGCAGAGGGGCAAGGACGGACCCCTGCGGTAAATCATTATTTAGTACTCTCTTTTTACTTGATTGATCATTCAAATGCACTTGGAATGAGCGATTGCTAAGCATGTTGTCGATAAGGCTTGTAGTTGCTTTGCATCTGGTGATGTTCAGAAGTTTGTATATAAGACCCTGGCGCCAGACCGTATCATAAGCCACGGTTAAATCTATGAAAACGAGTGCCGATTTCTCCTGATTTTGGAAACCAGCTTCTATGAAGGTTGTAAGGCTGAGGACTTGATCGCAGCAGCTTCGGTTTTTTCTGAATCCCGCCTGCTCTATTGGGATATGCAGCATGATTATGTCGGATATGCGGTTGTATATAAGTTTTTCCAGTAATTTATAGCAGGAGCTGAGTAATGCGATGGGTCTATAGCTCTCGGGTCTGTCTTTATCTTTACCAGGCTTGAGCAATGAGATTATTTTTGAGTTTTTTAGTTTTGGTGGTATATAGCCATTGTGGAGAATCTCAGAGTAGAACTTAGCCAGCCAAGCCTTTGTTACAGATCCACTATAGGACAAGAACTCTACATGCAACCCATCATAGCCGGGCGCTTTACCTGTTTTCATTTCCTTTATAGCGTTTTCAATCTCCTCTATTGAGAAGGGTTTAGCGAAATCGGATTCTCTTGTGATGTTCTTTTTTAGCTGGGATAGCTCTTTTCTGATTTTGGTTGTGTGACTTTTGTCGTTGGGCGCTCTGGAAGTTGAAACAATATGGTCCGCTATCTGATCTGCGGATACCGCGGGGTCGTTTCTCACAGGTGGAGAACCTGATCCGAGTTTTCTTATGAGACTCCAGGCTTTTCGGCTCGAGTGTTTGAAGTCCACATTGGCGACGGTTTGGGACCATTTATCACGTCTAGCGTTGTCAAGGCTCTGCAGTATTTCGTCAGCGAGATCAGAGTCTCCGCTGTTGAGATATTCCTCATATAAGGATTGACTGTCCTCATGCCAGCCGGGAATGTACTCTTTTCTATATCGTCGAGGGATGGACTTTTTTGCGGCGGCGATCACCGCTCCACAGAATCTGTCATAATTTTTGGGCTTAGCCGGGATCCAGTGCAGAGTTCTATCCAGGATGTGTTGGAATTTCCCCCAGTCCGCTTTATTGAAATTCCATCTTGGCTTTGGTGTTGAATTTATAAGTGGGATTTGGACTCCTACTGTCACCAGAACAGGCCTATGTTGGCTATGGGGAAAGCATGACAGCACTTTCCTTTCTGTTGCTAGGAGGGTGTTGTCTAGTTTTCTGGTGACAAAGCAAAGATCGGGGTTAGAGTCTCTGTTCCAGGCGGCGGATCTAAATGTCCCTGGCTGCTTGGCATCGTGAACTAGGTAGAGATTACTGATCTCCGCCCAGCTGGTTAATTCGGTAACGTCTTCATTAAGGTAGCCCCAGGCAGTGCTGTGGCTGTTGACGTCACCAATATAGACCGCGGGGCGAGTTTCCATTGGTAAAGCTGCTTCCGGCCAGGTCATACCAGGCGGCTTGTACACATTGATTATCGAGAGAAGGCCGATCTTGACGGTTATTATGTAGACACTGTTCGTGCAGTTGGATGATACTAAGGATGCATTTTTTATAGTGCTCCTGACGTATGTGGCTTAGCCATGCGCATGATGGAAAAGAGATGCAAGTGCGGTATAACCAGGGATACGACCTCTTTTTTGAAATTCTTCATCGCTGTTTGTGTGGGTTTCCTGTAGGGTCACAACATCGATGTCATTTTCGGTCAGCAGTTTAGATAGGTATTCACATTTGGCTCTGCTTATACCCTCTATATTTAGCTGGCAAATACGGACTGACGGTCCGATAATTCTAGTCTTGGGGCTCTGAGAAGAGCTGTTTCGAATCTGATTTGGAATAGCTTGCGAGGTCATCCTCACTAGTAGAACAGTAGAAATGTAGAAACAGTAGAAACATGTATTTAAGGGACAGGATATAGATACAAATTGTCTGACCGCCAGCTGTGTTAGCTCTTTAGCGTTACTCAGGGTGCACCACGAGGAGGCGAGCTAACGTTGCACCCCTGCGATGCCAGGAGTTTACAGCCCATCCATATGCGGCAAGGAATGCATTGGAGAGCCCGGACGAAAAATATCAACTAGGCTCAAAGAACATGAAAGAGCCTTACGACTAAGACAAATTAACTCATCAGCTGTTGCCGAACACACTCAGGAAACCGGACATAAAATTTTATTCGGTAAAACTAAAATTCTTGCATGTAATCAGTTCTTCTAGCAACGAAAAATCCTAGTGTCTATAGAATTCTATAAGCAACCTAACAATCTCAACCGCGACTCAGGTCTCTACTTGTCACCAATTTGGGAATCAGTCGTCCGAGACTGTGTTTATGCCCCTCAAACAATATATAAGCAGGTACAGAGTAAAATACGAGCCAGTTTCAGTCAAGCTCTGGAGAAGCCAACAGGATGATTGGCATAACGTCAGCAATTTCGACTCAGCAAAAACTGACGCAGGAGGAATCCCGAAGTTTTGTAAAAAATAAAATACATTGTTGTTTATAAACGCAATAAAACTTGAGAGGATTACCACCATCAAGAATTGCAAAAAGGAGTGATGGAAGCAATAAAAATTTTTTTATTTATAATTTCTCAAACCATTGTTAATCATTAGTAACTAAAGCACAAATTCTATTCATTGTAAATGACAAAATTTAAGTCAGCTGCATTGTGCTTGTTGACAATATGGTACTGGCCTCAAATCCTTTTTAAATACTGATGACCGATGGTTGTTTTGTGCCAGGCCTCTCTGGAATTTGTCATGTTGTTTTGACTACCACTAAAAATTAAAGATCTGCTGGTGTCTACTTTAGTTTTACCTAGAAAAAAAATTGTTATGTCTAAATAATAAATAAAGCCAAAAAACGCCCTCTTATTAACAAAAATTTCTCTTATGTTCAAGATGGAAAGATGCTAATTTTTAGGACTAAGAACATTGTCGAAAAAAATATCAATATTTTAGACTGAAAAAAAGTTGGTAACATATTAGTATCAAAATAGTATTTTGTACAATTGATAACATCACCTAACAGACACGTTTACCACCTCTTCTAAAGTTATCAACTTCAGCTTCAGCTTCATTTTGGGCAAGGTATGTTTTCCATTGTTTTCTTAGAATTTCATCTTTTGGTAAACTAAAAAGTAAAATATAAAAATGACATATACTAGGTATGCTAATCTAAAAAAAGGCAGTGGTAATTTCCTAAAAACTTGTACTTGTACTAGAAAGGCAATTTCGTTTACGTTAAGCGTGATGACAAACGAAAACTTTCCCATATTGATTTTTACAAAGATTTGTAGTTGTTTATGCTTGTTCTAGCAAAAATTCTTGCAGCTTATTTTCTTTCTTATATTTCCTGTAATTCTTATACACTAAAACACATTACCCAAATATCCTTCCTGTAATTGTTGAAGTGTACCTAAAAAAGTAGGGAATTCTCTTTAGTAAATTCACATGTAAACATTTATATGCAAGTCCATTTTCCAGTTTGTTAATTGAAAAATATATAGGGTTTCTTTAGGTCATATTTGCTACATTTGCTTTAATTTGGTGAAGCAGCCAAGTATTGAAAGCACAAATTATACAAGTTTGTGAGCCCTATGTAAACCTTTTTTAAATTCTTTAAATTAACTTGTACTTAAGACAACACTTACTCGTGTGTAGGTACATTTACTCCTTAGAGTTTTGACCACAGACACAACAAGTTTTCCACAAAAACGCAGAAAAATTACATAGCAAAATGTACGGCAATGTCGCAATCTGTACGTTGGGTGTGCGGCATGCCCAAAACTTTCAATACGAAAATATCATAGCCACCTGCGAATCATTAACTTTTACCGTAGTAGGGTCACTATATTATCTTATACCTATATGCTCTACACTGTTCTGAAGTAAAATATAACTATATGAAGCTCAAACGTTTGTTAAAAGTAATTTAACGATGTTTAGACTCCAACGCCGCCAAACCCTTGGGAGGGTATTCGAGAGGCGAACCAAACAGGAGCGGCTTGCATCGCGACTGCGCATTTTCCTGGAGACCCTGAGCCTAGAGAGGAGAACGAAGACTGTTTGTACATCAACGTGTACACCCCAGCCCACAAGGTGAGTTTTTTAGCTATTCATTTTTAATACATTTTCTCAGGTAATTTTATTAAGGAATGCGAAAAAGCTAAATGGTTTGTGCCTCTAAATTTTTCAAAATATTTGATAAATATAAAGAAAAAGCTCACTCCAACTGAAAAATTACGGGTACAACAACGAATTTATATATTTTATTACGTAAAATTTTAAGTTTTGAAGCTTTTTAATGTAATGCAGTTAAATAATAAAATAGATACTACATTGTAACGTACAATACAAACTGAAGTAACAGACAAATATACTTTAAAAAAACAAACATACAATTAAAATAAAAAAAAACATCACACACAGCTTTTATAAGATCAACCCTCACAAACATGGAGATCTCCATACAAAGAAATACAAGACAAGTTAAATAATTTTATAAAAATTTGCTGAATCACTGTGTTTTCCATTATCGATAATTTTCAATCAATCTTTAGTTACACTGTTTTCAGTTTTGTGCAAAAACGCAGTAATAGTACCGTTAAAAAGAGCAGAAAGGATTTAGTTGAGGATTACAGGTCCATCAGCTAGCTCTCTGTGCCCGGCAAACTTTTGGAATTTTTGGCTATATTTTTAACTCAATAGCGAATAAATCTTTAAAATCGATTTTCATATCACTTTCAGAGTTTCTCTGTGATTCTATGGATAGTTTGACTCATGTTTGAAATATCCTATTTTTAAATTTTGTTTCGAATTCCTTTTAAAATTTTTCAATCTTTTAAATAAGACGGAAACCTAATAGTTTTTCCAATAGTTCCGATTTTAGTTAATTCATTAGTTGCAAGTAGATTAAGGATATGCAATCGTAAAATAGTATATTATGCAACAAGTGCGGTAAACGGCATTTACGAGTTTATTTGACAAGAGCGGAAAATTATGTTCAAGCGAAGACGAGATGACTTTTTAAAAACTTTATTTTCAAAATACAATCGAAAATTAAGAGTTTCTGCAGCAGCAGTTACAACAAGAATAATCATATTACTTAAAACTAAGACTTTATAGGTTCGTATCCGAAAAGCTGACAATGTGAATCTCACGGTCTCTTCATAGTACCATCGTGGCCAAATACTGACATCGTAGATCTCACGGTGTCCTATCCTTATTACGTAGAAATCATTGTACATAACTCGTCTCTCCTCAAGAAGCAAACATAATGGAATGAGTTTGCTCCGGCTGATTGGATTTATTGGGTTCGGATTGATTATGTTGACATTTCGGTAGAAGTTTCTTTCTAAAAACGATCATTAGGGCTGCAATGACCGCTAGAAAAAATATAATAACAATAATATTAGTTATTAAACTTGTAGACATAGGCTGGTCAATTTCTTCAATCGGTTGTAGTTCATTTGTTATCCGTTTTAATTGATATAGGTCTTGCAAGTTAATTTGACGGATGTTCGCTAATCTGTGTGACATAATTGGTTTCAATTCTTCTATATAGACTTCAGGTAAAAAAAGCCTTTCCTTTCATAATTTTGACATTATTGTAATAATTTTTCTTGCCCAAGGTTATTTGGCAAGCAGCTGGAATTTCTATAAGTGTTGGAATATCGATCTTAAGGTATCGATCAATTTTACACTTAGCAAATACCAATGTATTTTTAACAGGTAAGACAAGCACTTTTTCTTGCGTTACTTGCTCTGCAAGAGGTTGTAATAATTCGATATGGTGTTTGCGACAGTTCCTTATAGGCTGATTTTTAAGCAATTGAATCGTGCATTCATCCTTCGAGTTGTAGTTTTCATGGCAGTAGAAAGTATGCTCGATTTCATGATAGCAGGACTCTTTGAAATGAATATCTTCTTTTTCTCGTGCGACATAAGGGTATTTTGGAATAATTATCGTGTTATTTTGGATAACAGGAAACAGGTGATGGAAAGAAAAATATTGAAGCCTTAAAATAGGGAAGTGAATAGCAAAAATTGTTTTACTATCTGTAAATGTTACTTGAGTCCCTAAAAATTGGTAATAAGATAACGTGTTAATAAATTTTGGTAATTTGTTTATACCATAAATTGATTTTAAATAATCGATCATTTTCTGAATTTCCAAAACAGAAACTATTGAATTGTGTAAAGCATTAGTGTGTGCAAACACAATTGCGTTCTCTAAATTATCCAGAAAATTTATCAGGTTTTGACAGTCAAGTATAATTTGGGATAAAACACTTTGAAAGGTTATATGTAACTGAAGAATATTGATCGTGTAGTACGAATGTAGACCGGTTCGTCAATATCGAAATTCAGGGGGTCCTCGCGTTCTTTGTTTCTTTTATCAATTATTTTTTCTTTTGTTTTTTGATTATTTTCCGAAATTAATTGGTAAACCTTTTTCGAACTCTCTTTATGTTTTTGTACATGGTCCGAAATTATTACGTGGTCACTAATGTCAAAAGGATTTGTGTCATTTATATGACCTTTGATTATTTCAAAAGACGTAAATTTCGTGACACTGTGTTTGGATTATATCCTAATAAAGCGCGTTTTACGATTTGTTCCGGGTTGTATGGTTTATGTTCCTCTTTAAGACATCGATATGCTTCAATTATAGAAGAATGAAAAAGTTCCACGGGGGAGTTAGAGTTACTATTCTTTGAATTGGTATAATGCAACTCAATTTTATACAATTTACAAAAGTCCTCTATGTTTTTATTTTTAGACTCCGTTTCACGGTCTGACGTGATTTTTAAAGGTAAACCATGGTGTGATACAAAAGTTAGGAAGGAATCAATGACAGCTGTTCCTGTCAGACTTTTAAGAGAATACGCTTGACCGTATCTAGAAAAGGCGCCAAGAATGGTTAAAAATATTTGGTTGTTGATTTTAAAAGAGTCAATATGAATTTGTTCGAATGGTTTAGATGTCATAGGTGTTAGACTAAATTTAATGACAGGGGGATTTCTGTCGTATTTGTTTTTCTGGCAAGTATCACAAATATTTACAAACCGCTCGATATCGTCGGTCACTTTAGACCAATAGAATCTAGTGGTCAATGCTATTTTCATTTCAGAGCTGCCCCTATGGCAAGTTTTTGTATTGTGGTAAATTTTTAATTTTTCCTGTTGTTCGTCCTGGGATTCAATATCCTCTAAGAATTTTGAACATTGAACAAACCTGTAGGAATAATTTAGAAATATTTTTTGTAGTGTTACAGTAAAGGTTTTAGCTAGTTTTTCGGTTCTAAAATAAAGTGCGTAAAGATTTTTGGGGTCTATAAATTCCTTTAAGAATTTAATTAAATGTGGGATAGGCTCAAGTTTTGGAAATACTACTAAAATTCTAATGTTATTGAAAATATTTGAAAATTGGCATTGGATTCGATTAATATCTCCTTCGGTTACAATTATTTGATTTTTATAAATATTCAATATTCTTTCTGTAAAGGGAATGTTAAAAATTGGATTTAGGCGTCGCAGAGTATACGCCTAATTAGATCTGCTTGTTACTCTTTAAAAACTCTCTTACTTTCTTCTTGACTATCCCATTTGTAACAATTTTTCTTATAGTTGACTTCGGAACTTTGATCACTTGTTTTTATTGCTGCTCCTCGATCTGAGTTTCTTATGAAATTGTAAACATTGAAAACAATTTGTTTAGCATCCGAAGACAAATGGATCCGTTTTTTTAGTTGCTGAGGTAGTTCGTTTTCTAAATTGTCATTAGGTTCGACTACCATTTCCACTTCGTCCTCTTCTGTATTCTTATGACGCACCTTTATCTACCGCGAATATAATCTACCGTCATAAAAAGGACTGTTGTTGCTTATAAAACGAAGAACTATGTAGAAGACACAAAAAACCAAGAAGAATTACGTTAATCGACAGGCACATAAGACAAAAATGATTATTTTCAAACTTACCTGTAAAATAAATAGATAAAAAGAGTACAGGTATTCACTCTTACCCTTTGAATAATCAAGTGATATATGTACTTACTGGATGGATCACAGTCAAATACTTCCGTAATATATACGAACATATTGCAATTTAGATTAAACTCTTAAGAACGATACCTGATGTTAAAATAAATGCTTCTACTTATTTGAAAATACCCCACAGCATCAACGCCTAATTAAACTTAAAACGGTCCATTTATATTTCAAATAAAAATTTCAAGTTTCTATAAATATTCGTTACGGTTCATCTCAGGCAAGACCTACTTCTGTTGGGATGGGTTTTATAACGGTCCTGGGAGGGTCTGCGGTTAAAGTACTGTAAAATACTTTAAACGTCACAGCAATAAATGCACTATGTTTTTGGTCGTATTACAAACGAATGGATGTAGCTTTATGACGTACTATGCATATAGCGACAATAGTTGGGATTCCACATAATTCAAAAGGAGCATGACGTCATTGACCTGAGTACCTTGAATAACATGGACCACGTGAGAGAAATATGGACGGCTGTAAAATTGGACTATTTTATTCGGATACTTCGAAAACTATCTATCAAAAACTATCAAATTTCCAGAAGTTATATAATTATAGAGAGACTTTGCAAGCCAGATATAAAAACTTTAACTTCAGATTTGCTCGAACGACGTTGTTTGAGTCTTTCAAACGTATATTTTCGATGTTCCAGATCGCAGAAAAGTTGCCGGTACTCTTTTGGATATACGGCGGAGGCTTCGTGGGTGGTTTTTCGGACTACAGCTTTTACGCTCCGGATTACTTAATCCAGGAAGACGTCATCGTCGTCACTTTTAACTATCGCTTGGGTATTTTCGGATTTATGTCGACTGGCGATACGGAAATTTTGGGAAACGCCGGTTTGAAAGATCAGCTGTTTGCCTTGAATTGGACCAAAGGAAATATCGGATCCTTTGGTGGAGACCCAGACAAAATTACCATATTTGGGCAAAGCGCAGGTGGAGGATCTGTCGGTTTTCACCTTACGAATAAAAAATCCGCAGGTACTGTTTGCTGAACTCTATTGTGTGTTCCATTAGGTAAATTAATAATTGTAAAATTTACGTAAACATTAGATTGCCCCACAAAATCGACCATTTTAAAAGTTTAAAAGAAGTGAATACAATAATAATAATAATAGTAATTATAACAAGAGTGCTTTCGAAAAATCGTCGGTGAGCGGTGCAAGTTCGTCGCGAATAGCGCGAATCAGCTTTTTATTTTATAAAGAAGGCGCTTCGCGGATTCCTGTAGAGACGCAATATGTTTCTATCGTGCTCCTGCGAACTAGTATGGAACTTTCGCAAACTCGATGTAATTTGATTGTGAATACGCCATGTATAAGGTGTCCTTCACATCTCGTCGAACTTCAAATTTAAGGTATACTACTGTAAATATCAAAATTTGTACTGGTAATTGCAATTTAAAATTATATTTTTTCAAATATCTTGCGTCCGCTGTATTATTGACGAAACGTTAAACTCTCTCTCAACACGGTTTACGATAACGTTCATATCAAATTATCACATCTTTAAAAGTTTCTCATGTATCTCCAATAATCCACCCACAGAGGCGGAAATTTCTAGGATCTATTAGAATTTTTTGCCGACAAACGACGTACCCTGTATATAATTCCAACAATGTTCGAAACAGAGGATATAGCTCTGGATCTCCTTAGTTTTCTGGTATCAGAATTTTTCCAATGGAGTAAATGGTTTTCAAAAAACTACTTGTTTTCTGAAACCATGCAGTACGATAGATGAAAACCATAAATACAGAAATTGTAGCCCTTGATACGGCCTATAACACTGTTTGAACGGATTAGCTATTGTTTGTATGAATTTTGATTTACGGTTAATAATTAACTCTCTGAAGGAACAATTTTCAGGGTCTTTTAAATTTTTGTCCATAACTAAAACAGCTTGTATATAATCAAAAAAATGCGTGAAACAATAGTTATAGCACCGGGTCTCCCACATATTACGGATGTAAAATTTTTCCGATCTGATGAATGGCTTTGGAGGAAAAGATGTTATTCTGGATGCCAAAATAACCACACAAAAAATTCAAAAATAAAAAAACATACTTCACGTTATTTTATTGGTCCCAATTCAAAGAGTCTAATTGCGAGCCTAGATTTCTACTACTCTCCCAAGTCTGAAGTCGGTAGCTGCAAATTTGGAGTACTTATTATGTTTTTTAATATTCAACGGAATATCGCGAACACCCTGTACAATACTTAAAAACCGTAAATACAAAAGTTTAAGCTGTCTATATGTCTAAAACAGAGGCCCCCCCATTTTCAATAGGTTCCGTCAAGGGGCAAAGCTGCATATATGTGCCAAATATGAAGTCGATTGCTTCAAATTTCGGATACGTATCGTGTTTCATGGCAAGCAGTCGACAATCGCGAAAAAAGATGGATACCGGCGTCTGATCGGGGCCATTTCTTACAAGCTTATGTGCCTCGTGGAGGGTTAAAAAGAAGGCAAATTTCAATGTTGTAGCTCCAACGGTTCGAAAGTTATTCAGGAAAAACCAAAAGACGAAAACGGAGAACGGACAAGTAGATCAAAAAAAATTTTTTTCCACGATGATCATTTCTGTATTAACGGCGATGCCTTAGGACCTACCGTTATCGAGATAAAAAAAATTTATACGAGCGCAGATACTTTCGAAAATTCGATTTAATCGATTTTTGAAAGTTACAAGCAAATTTATTTTCAACAGTTATACACCCGATTTCAGGAAATATATAAATAAGAGAAAAATAATATAATATAATCATATAAGCTCTGCACATAAACCGAAACACAGTCAACAATCTCACGAAGTATATTCGCATTAATATCACATATGTCTGAAACAATAATGAAGTTACCATACAAAAACAAAATTGGCGACTGATGTGTAGGGAGATGAAATGTAGGCCTGGCTTTAATTCTGGGGACGCAAAATTTTACGTTGCTTAAAGGATTCACCGTACGCAAAAGCCCACGCCGAAATTTTAAAGAACGAATGCCCCCCCTAACCTCCAGAGACGATTCCCAGAACCGGCGTAATAGTACCTGATGCTCAAATCCTCTATGCAGATATAAGCAACCTTCTCTGAATTAACTCCAGGATATCAATGGGACATTGAGATATTGGACGCCACGCCAATGACCCATTTTCTAATTTAGATCTCATTTAAGAATGGTACAGAGTTCTAATGGCTGAGGTATTGTTGAAATGTCGGCACCTTCTTATTACGAAACCTAACGCTCTTGAAAATAATAATAAATGCTCAATATGAGATACAAAAGAGCCTGGAAAATAAGATAATCCCCAAGTCTTGAACTTCACTTAATCGAACCAATACAGTTCCATTAATCACGTAATTAAATAAATTTATGTTCGGATTTCTAGAATAAGCGAGCACGTTACATTTGGAAACATTTAAACCTAATCGATCCTGAAGCAACAAGCAATGTTCAATTAATCATGCAATAGATTTTTAAATTATCAGCATATACTAATTTATTAGTATATTTAACCAATTTATCAATTAGACCATCAATAAAAATGACAAAATGAAGAGTTCCTAAATTTGACCCTTGTGGTACTACCGATGTGGGATAAAATACGTATTGAAGCTTTTTAGCAACTGTGAAGTTTCGATAAAAAGATCCATATATATTACATCCGTCTGAGCTAAATCATCAGTTAATTTACATAAATATTTAGTCAACGTTGCCAGATTGCTTGTGCATTACTTATTTGAAACAAAACCGCATTGCTCAACACTATAATTATTCTTAAGACTGGAATAAATACAGTGACAAACTGTGGCTGAAAGAGACATCACACCTCTACAATTCTTATCAGCGATAATACAGACCGAACTGAAATCTACCAAACGCATCTACTATGGCTTGAATTTCCTTAAAAGATTCACCGCCGTAAGACATCAAGCCTGGGATTCTGGGACTATTTCTCTTCGATTGAGCACAATTTTGAAGGATCATCTCGTATATTCAATTCGATATTGCTTAAGTACTCACTATGTGCTTTCACTGTTTCAGTTTTGATTTGACGCCTAAGTGCTTGAAATATAGATAGCAACAAAAGCTTCTTTCTCAAAGATTTGTATAATCCCTCCAGTATATCAGACTGGGAAACGTCGGGGTCTTTTGACTTTAAGTGGAACGGATTATTGAAATAACTTATTAAGAGTATTATAAAAACAATTCAAGGACTCATCCATGTGAGAATAATTTGCCTCTCTAAAGTTAAATTCTTTCATGGAGTCACAACACAGGCCAAAGTCTGTAGACTGATTCGATGCTAATTGAAGTGGTACAGACGTAACAATAGGGCACTCGTCTCTTTCAACAAAGCAAGGAATGCTTGAAAATACAAGATACAGCAAACGATTCATGTTATTACACACATGTTCGAATCATGTTGCTCCTAAAAAATAACTGGTCGAAGTGAACCGGAGGTCATTAGATGCATCTGAAATAAAACTGGGAATATTGAAGTCGCGAAGAATGATGGCATCAATAAATTCCAAAAAACATTCCAAGGGCGACTCAAAATCAATATCCGGTACTAATTAAATCAACAGCGTTAGCAACACACAGTTATTGGAGGCATATCGATTTTCTCTGAAGGAAAATGTTCTTTCAGTTCTTATGGAACTCTTTTTCCATCACTTTGAGAATTCCAAAATTAATGCAGAAAATTTTTCGCTGGCTTCGCTCATCATAGAATAATACTGATCAGGCAGGTATACCCGGTCAACCTTTTCAATTTTTCTTTTTACAACACCAAAATCTTGGTCATTGGGCAAGAAGAAGTGTCCCCTTATTGGAAAAAAATGTGTTATTTTTGAATATATGCTGGTGTCTGTCAAAGCCAAAAGAAATCTGATCAATGTATGGTTCTTCTTCTGTCCTGGACAGTTGTCTGAGAAAAGGTATAGTTCGTCCACGTCATTCAAGAAGTTCTCCAGATAATGAAGGAGCATTGAGCACACTTCATTTTCTCCTTTATTTCCTAATCCTTCATCGTAGAGATAAAACACAGTTTCATTGGTCTTAAGATTTTTTATGCCAAAACAATTCACTCACAGTTGTCTTGGGTAAAACATTTCTTGTACCGGAATATTCGGCACCGGCACGTTCTGCATGAAGTAAAAAGTTAAGGTGGCCACATCTTCACGAGATCTACAAAGTTCTTTTATGTCACGAATTTTATTATGAAACTTTTGTGCTCTTCTTTTGTGACTAGTCTTCTATGTTTCGACAGCATTTTTGGCATAAAATCCTAGCGTAGAGTTTTTCATTTTAAGGGTTAACTCTTCACAAGTTACGCACGTATCGACCTGAGGTCTGCCGAACCTTAGCCAAAAACGTATTCTTGAAATAGTTTACATAAAATGCATAAGTAACCTTATATTCCGGATGCTTTTTCATGAATAATGAATGCATACTTTTCACATTCAAAGCGGCAACTAGATATTCAATATCTTTACCTGAATAATGAGTTTTCTTTCTGGGAAATGAAAGAATATTTTCATGAATTGCTTTCAAAATTTCGGAACGAGTTGTGCTGGCTTTTGGATGCTTACTCCTTCTAACTTTTGGAGTCTACGACTGTTGATGCAAGATGCACAAGCGACGAACGCGATCTGCAGTGACGCCCCAGATAGAAACGAACGCTTTTTTGCATACCAGTTTTCTTCCACCAGAAGTAACGATGTAGCATTTAAAAGAAATTTCCATTTGTATAGATCCTCCTTTACGAGGTCTATGAGTTTTTACTGCGCCTTTCTCAATTAGTTGTTGCAAGAAAATATGTTGTTACTTTCGAAAATCGTATTTTTTGAAATTTTTGTTTTGTCTGTCCGTTCTCCGTTCACGTCTTTTGGTTTTTCCTAAACATCTTTCGAACCGCTGAAGCTACAAAATTGAAATTTGCATCCTTTTTAACCCTCCACGAGACACATAAGCTTATAAGA